CGGGTCTGGACCATAACATGTGATGTGGACTATCACCTGATCTCTACGCATCGCGTCTGTGGCTGAGTGGCGTGAGATGTTGGTGAAGCACGTGATCTGTGACATGAGTAAAGTCACGTGCGGACTTTGTGGTGAAAATCTGTGACACTTTCCCACAACTCAGTGATTCCCTTTGGTGGCTCCTGATACTCTGCAAGCTTCCTTTTGAGATGACCCCACAGATGCTCTATGGGATTGAGATCTGGGGATTGAGAGGGCCATATCATAATGTTGATTCATGGTCTTTGAACCAATTCTTGGCCTTCTTGCTAGTGTGCTTGGGGTCATTGTCTTGCTGAAACACCACATCCTCCACGGTTTTGCCCCAATCCTCCAGGCTATTCTGCAGCTCATCCTCCAGAATGCTGACATAAAGGTCTGCATCCATCCTGCCATCAATCTTGCAGGCATATCCCATGCCATCCCAGCCCATACAGCCCCACATCATCAAGGATCCACCTCCAAACTTCTGGGGTCCCTTCCACCAACCTATCACTGAGGCTCTCCCCTGGCTTCTTCCACACCCATTTCCTTCCATCTGATCCCATCCTGTTAATCTTTGTCTCATCTGACCATACCACCCTTCTCCAGTCCTCCACAGTCCAATATTGGTGAGCCAAAGCAAAGTCCATCCTCTCCTTTCGATGCCTTGCAGCGAGTAAAGGCCTTTTGCGCTTTACTACAGCCTTCATTCCTGTCTTCTTCAACCCTCTTTGCACTGTCTCTGCATTGACAACCCTCCCAGTAACATCTTCAAGAGCTCTGGCCACAGCAGGAGATGTGGTAGCCTTGCCAGTCCCAATAAGTCGAGTAGCATACTGAAGATTGGCAGTAGAAAGAAGGGAAGGTTGTCCTCCTTTGGCCTTACAAATGATGGAACAGTGTGTAGAGCGTAGTTTACTGATGGTAGAGTAGTGTAGACCAGTCAAAGCTTCAATTTCTTGAAGAGATTTGCCATTCTGAAGCAAAGCGATGACATGGTTGACAGTTTCAGTAGCAACAGCTTTTGGCATGATGTTGGTTGAGTGTGAAGAGTTGTGTATGGCTGTTTGTACATTGTTCATGTTGAAACATGAACATCAATCAATATTTTCACAAAGAACGCTGTCAACACATCAAGAATCACAATTTTCTGAGAACTTGTGTGTGTGCCACAAAACTGTTGATAAGAGTGACCCTCAAAGATTAGTAAATATCTTGGGATGAAATGTGATGAAAATATGACCAAAACTGTGTTAGAAAGCCATGATGATACGCTTTCCAATGAGTTCTTATACAATGTAGTTGACCCATTGGTTGAGGAGATATTTACTATACAAGTCGAAGTGAGCAATCTTATTAACAGTTTTGTGGGTCACTGTAGATGTACAGGTTCATGTTCTTCTCACAGGCTGCAGATACCCTTGCTTTACTGGCCCCTGAATGCGCTGTTCATTCACGCTCACTCCGAGTGAAGTTAGCTCTTCGCAACGATAGTCTCTGCTTTCACTACTGGCATGATCGCCGCATCTAGCGTGTGCTTCTGGTCACCCTCAATGAATCCTCCAGCTAGTGATACACATGTGAGCATGATGGAGTTCGCCTGTCGGACATGACTAGCAGCTGGCATTCATGTCCCTACCCTGATGGAGTTAGTGTGGAGATGAAAGGACATGGGCGCACCGAGGGGGGACCGAGGTAGTGTTTGAACAGCCTACAATAGCTCACAAAATGATTCTGGTCCTGGAGATCTCCTGCGAGCTATTCCAGCAATTTTCTTGGGACTCCATTGAGACTGGGTCGCTCAGAATCCCAGGTGCAAGCACCGCTCATTCTGTTAATGATGTTGTAAATGGTAAGATAACAGCGCCATAAAAACCTTACCAGGCAGCATCTGAACATGACCGTACGAAGACCTCTCAATCTTTCTCACAGTTAGCAATTGCTCACTGCGCAACTCTCTGACACATCTTGGGATGCCACTCCTGAGTGTGTTTGACGGATACAAGCTGTATATGCACTGCACCAAAATCGCTTTCAGACACTCGAGGGGGTCAAGATCAACACTTTCTTTGCTGTCCGGCCCTTGTGTATGAAGCCATGTGAGCGAGATTTAGCCTGCCATTGCATTATGCTGCACTCCAAGTTATTTCAGCCCATCGGTGAGCTTCAGGATATTCGGGATGTTCTCGTGCGAGTATCTGTCAAGACGAGTATACTCAGTCCAATTGAGCATGTAGCCATTAGCAGTCCAGTCGCATATCACAGCACCGTGCATCTGAAGTCAACCTCGCAGAAGATCTCTGCAGTTCGATTCTTTAGTCAGCATCAAGCAGCCAGAAGAAGGCGAGAAATGGAAGGTGCACTGACATATTGTCTGGTCAGCAAGCCACGCCCGGAATGGGAGTACGTGACGATTGTGGCACAGAGCTCTCTGGTGGTCTAGGTCTTAAGAGACTGATCTTGTCATCGTCAACATCGAGCATAAAGGGTGGGTACTCGACTTCTAGCGCACTGATTAGGATGCATGGAGGGTCTTCGCAGAGCAGAATATACACAGGGCTGAGAAATGCAGTTACGAGCTCCCGACAAATTCTTCGCTGTCTGCATATGCATCTGTAATGCCCCACAATATGTAACTGCCAGACACCGCATTGAGCACCTAACAATGTTAATGCATGTTTCAGTCTAACAATGATGGTGCAAGCAGTTCTACATGGATCTTGAAGCGCTTCTCCCAATATATGTGCTTACGTATCCATGTATGTGCCCTGGAGATCCTAACCCATGTTGGGATTCCACCCCAATAAAAGAGACGTCAATGTCAAAAATATGTTGCAGATTCACAAAGCATGGTAAACATCATGCGCTCTCCTTGAACACGTTAAGAACTGCTCTATACGGAAAAATAATGCAGTAAGGGAGGCGAAAGCAACGTGTTGACCGACTCACAATTGAACATCACTGGTTTTCTCAGCTTGCATCTCACGCATATAGTGGCCCAATCCAGCATCGGACGCAAGCTCATCATCAGTAAGACAAGTCGAGCATGCAGCGTGCTTAAGTATGCCCTCATCGCCTAAACAATGAACCAGTTTTGAGCTCAGGATGCATCCAATTAAGATAATCGGGGACTCGTGGCTCAGATAGCTAGCAACAGTAGGTCAGTACGAACAGATATGGAATGGCTACTCAGTCATTTGATCCGCTATAATACATACTCATACGAAAGCACTGGGCACTTGGATAGGCTGGCGCTATGCTCGCGCTGTGCGTCAGCCGATGAACTCCAACAGAAATGACTTTCCATACCTCTGAGGCAGCCACTACCAGTCTGCTCGCCCGACATACTCTTTCTGCATACACTGGAACTCTGGCCGACATACCTGCAGTGACCACAAGCAGTCCTTCCGAGTCGAGGCAGAATTGTGCAGGTATTGATTTAAGAGGTAGCTACAGTGCGTGAGTTTCGATGAGGTGTGGGACAATGCGAGGACTTTGCGACGACTCATCTTGGGACTGGAATATAGTACGATCACGTGATTGCCGCATCACTAGCCATGCACCCCATAAAATTGTCCGCTCACAGCTGCAACGAGTTCAACGGTAGCATCTTCACACATCCTGGCAGACAGCACGGTAACTAGCATGGCACAGACGTGACAGCAACCAACAGAAAGTGAATGTAAGCAGCAAGACGTATCATCGGATGCTGGCCACTTCGAAGACAACCTGGATGATGCAGAGGAGACCTCGCAGAAAGCAGTGGCTGAAGAAGAGGAGCAGTTCGGGTATATATTATCTGAAGAAGGGTGATCAGATTCAGCCAGTGGTGAAGAGGCAGGTGAGGACAACTGGGATGATGTTGTCCAAGGAGCTAAGGAGGGATGTGGGACCCGAAGACGGCGAAGATGGCATCGAGGACCAATTTGGAGCGCACAAGTTTGCGCCATTGTAAAGGCTCGTATTTTGATTTTTATTTGTCTTTGCTTCATAGGCATCAGTCTCGAGGCGATCTTGAGCTCGATTGAATAGACTTGAAATGAGCTCGCGCGAATATTGCTTTGGGCGAGAGCCAGCTTGAAGTAAATTGGCCGCCCTTGTAATCTATCCGGTGCGGAGATTGCAATCCTATGTGATTCTTGCATTCGATCGGTGCAGATTGCTTAGAAAAATAAGAATTACGAGGTTGATAATTGTGAAAGACAGTTTACAAGGGTTTATAATGCGTTATAGTACGTGATAATCCACCCCAATATGCTCATAGGTTTCCAAGAACCGTAAAATCTACTATAACGTTTTTGCACTTTTGTCGATGTCTCAGAAATGAGGCTCGGCGAATTTATAAGCAGCAGCACAATCCCAGATTACGCCTGAAAATGTCGAAAGTGCACATGCGGCATATATAAGTCTAGTGCCAAAAGTTCCCAGCTAGTCTACTCAAGGCCCGAGGGTGCATGCAATATTGCATCTCTTGATACAATGTCGTGCAAGGGTAGTTCTGCCCCGGCCGAATCAGGCATCAATGCGTCTTCTCTCAGTTGCTTGCGAATGTTCAAACTAGCCTAGAGGTTAGGATAATGACTATAGCATATGTAAAATGTACTTACACAGCAAGTAGCAAGTTCACGTAGACTGTCAAGGACACAAAATAAAGTCAGTTAACGGATTACAACGAGCAGTGCAAATCACACCACTTGTTCCAGCTGTATGCGTCAACATCCAATACAATACGTCTTCATGTTTCGTGATCATGTACTGTCCAATGTCAATGTCGATCAACCCTAAACGATTAATAGATGCTGGCCTCACCAAGATGAAGTGGGCCACTTGAAACGCCCTACATTATGACCCCATCAAGCGACCGAAGACCTTTCAGGAAGCTGTACTTACAAGATAAAGATACCGCGGTTAATGGAGTGCATGATGAGCCGCAGAATCAGTGTCTTAGTCCTGAACGGAAATGCGTTCAGTGTCCATATGGTGAACGCATGCAATGTCCCTCAATACCGTTTGAACCCGTCCATCTGTTTTGATAAAATGACACAAAGGGATGTCGTGATTAAAATATCCGCAGTAAGAGCCGTTACAGTGTGAATTGACGAGGGGATCTATGCATCTCAACGTGATCAGACGGTAGGACCGACTCGCATCTGGACTGTGGCTCACAAGTGCAGCAGGGACAGCAGCCGTCCATGCTTTGTGCTTGCAGCTGAACGCAGATTAGCATTTACGCTAAATGGGGAATTGGCACACCTACAGGCATACGACAATCCCTGTTCGAAGCATTTATGGGTTGATCAGACTCCGCATTTCACAATGAGCCGATTGAATGTCCAGACCTATACCTCCCGCTATGCCCGCCTGACAGTTCAGTTGTGCAAACATAAGTGCAGCTGCCAGCGATGCTGCCCACCGAACGACGTAATTGACAGAATGAGCTGAAACATGTATCAGGAAGAATGTCCGTAACGATACATGCCCACGTACTGCCGAGAGGACGAATGGCTTGCGCGTCCATAGATCGCGTAAGACTTGATATGTTCCATTCGTGAGTGTGGTGATAGCACTGCTTCCACTTCACGACTCACGTCTCCATACGATGTGGATATAGTAACTAAAGAAATGAGTACCGTTAATGGTTCGACTCAAGAGTCGGAGCTCGCACCATTGAACGATGAAAATTGTCATCGGCTTCATGTTGCGTTAGCGGACCGCGATGAAAGGTATAAGAATAGCACTAACTGCAATGAGAAACTCTGCCTGCGACAGATCAGCATGATACTCTATTTGCACTGCGATGTACGAGAGCGTCTACTCCTTGACTCACGATGAGTGTGCTGCATCAAGAGCGGTAAGAAATAGATGTTCGCTGAGAAAAAGCTGCCCACTTCGGAATCTTCGCGAGTTCTGCGTCACTACCATGGTGTGTGACGAGCCAGTGATATAGAAACTCGTATCACATATCAGCCAGGATAACCGAAGCCGCGTTGACTGTACTACGTACGGCTATATCCAAGCCGCATCTAGCTGTGTCGAGCACCCTGTAACTCGATTGAGGAATGTTAGAAGGACGACCTGTCATGCGGAAGTCACGTACCAAAGTAGCGTAACCTGCAATTCATTCGGATTCTACATGAACACAATCAATTTCTTCGATCCAACTACTGACGGACCAGCATTTTGAGGGAGAGCGGGTCTTTCGTATAGGCTTGGGCATAATATACAGTTTGTATGCAAGATAGGCCATATAGACTATTGCGAGCGTGGTGAACGTTAGTCCGCTGAGCACGGAGTCCAACGTACGAGAGAGCGAGTATGACGCCGATAAGTGTGCAACCTATAGTATCGTCCAGATTGAACATTGCAGGGCTATGTCGACCAGGGATGACAGAGCGAAAGCAATATTATCGCACCTTATATATGTAGGGCGTGGGTAAGTGAGACCATGCGAAGCTGATGTTTCATCGCAAACATGGGCTTCCCGTAGTGCCCCGTAACATTTCTCCCATGTCAGCCAGCTGATCGTTCACACTGTGTACTCAGTACGACCTGGCTGTGGCGTAGTATTTTGTCCAGCCTGATGCGTCGGAGTCTTTGATTAAATGGCCGTTACAACCTCGCAACAAAGCTGATGGCGTGTACATTGCCGGCGTTCGAGATTCTGAATGGAACACTCTATATATATCGTGGCGGTTATGAGCAGATCATCATCGCTTTGATCAGATTTTGACATACCGTTTGGATTGTCAGACCTCGATGGCGCTCGCCTTGCCTTTCAAAGTGTGGGAGCAAGCTGCAGTCATCAAGCACATTCGTATTGCATCCTTCAATAGAAAGAATATCGAGCAGAAGTATGTGAATTCACTGTATGATACATCAAATCTACAGCAGATGACTTGCGAGTAACGGAATGAATAGATCGATGAAACGTACAACGACAGATACACGATATGACCAACACAACACGCACGCAGGAAATTTCATACTGATCGAGGTCTCCCTTGAAAAGCATCGTTCAGCCAATGGCCATTGCATCGTCAAGCTCGGCGTGCACCGCGTCCTGAGGGCGTAGCGAGAAGATGACATCCTTCAATATCTGCGAGATTAATCCATGTTGCGCTTCCGTCGCAATCTTGTCACTGCATTACCCGCATGATGATCAATAGTCGAACTTATAGCGAGAATGTCAATAACCAACCTATCCTTCACGCCCTTTAGGAGCTGATTCTGGTCCTCTTTCTTCTTCTCTTCCTTCTGTTCTCTCGCGTAATAAGGAGCCTGGTCAGATCTGAAAGTGAGCTTTTGAACGGACCTTAGCAACCTTGTCATCTTTCAGAGCAGGTGGTGGGGCCTTAGTGGCGGACACGGACGTTTGAGCTTTGGTAAGTTTCTGCGCAAGATCTGCAAGCTGCGAAGCAGCGTATGCTCGGTTCTGAGGCAGTACTCTCAGCCATTGTCATACCAATCCATTGCCGGACACTCACTGAAATAAGGGCACTCTGGCTGAGTGTGTTCACCCAATACTTGTTCCACAGAAGGCCAAGCAACTCTGCATCAAGACTGCTCTTGAATACCTGTACCTCAAGCGGATAATACTGGTTCGCATGCACGCCGAAGTCCTCGATCTTGTTCAGTGGAATCGACTGATACTCCGATGAACCGGCGTCTGGAGGAGTGTACGACTCGGGATACGTCCGAAACGCGCCAATATCGACCTTGCCAGCAGATATGGTGCGGTTAGGATCGATGACAACCGCAACGAAAGGATCCTGAAACTTCTGGCTCATCATCTGTGTGTTGACATCAATACCAGACAGCCAGCAGCCATAGCCGGGATGCGAGTGGTACCATCCAACCGCGTTTTCCAAACGCCCTACCTGCGAGGAGGTAAAGTATTGTAAAAGGCACGAGCTTAGACCGTTCCGCGATTCACACATACCCGCTCGCTCGCCTGAATATACTGCACCATGTATTCGTTTGCCTCGTTGGCTGCATTGACGCGGGTCTCTGTCCCTTGCACGGGCAGTGCGAACGAGTCAATGACGACGAGCGCATGGTCCATGACCTTGCCCTGCATCATGCCCATGATCTCATGGGGCACGCCCGAGCGTGCATGGATGACCTGAGATAACAAGGTCAGATGCATATCGGAGCCACTGAAGGCGGCCTACCATCTTGATCAACGCAACGGCTGAGATCTTGCATACTTTGAAGTAGTGCGGGCTATGAAAGCGAGATGAATACAAACGCTCGACACATACGATTCACGAAATCGTAAAGTGATCTCGGAACTCTTGTAGAAGAGCATCGGTAGTCAGCTACTGCTTTCAATACGCGCCACGGCGCGTGTAAGACACTCCGATACCATCTGGAGCCAAAGAGAACAGCACATAAATGGGCTTGCTCCTTTCTGAAACGCCAGAAGCGAAAAAATCTCCGACGAAGCGATGAACAGATAGAAAGATGCACTCCACGAATGCTCGGCCTACGATCGGGCGGTCGGTACCAATCAGTCCCACTTTGTATCCTTTCAGACGTAAAAAGAGCCAGAGTCGCCCATCTCATTTGCATAGCGCAATCGTGTCCATTGAGTTAAGCACCACAAGGCAGTGTACACGTACTCACGAACCCATGGTTGATCGCGAAGGATCTTCCTGTTCTCCTCAGGATCAAAGGACGACGAGCAGCCAGAGTCTTGAAATCGCTCGTGCGTGCAGCCTGGTGCAACGCGATCCAACTATATGGGCGCTTGTGAACGTCGCTTGGTCCCAGAGCGTGATCGTGGGAGCTCCTCTCCTTTTTTGATCACAGAGCTCACTTTCATGCGCATCGTGGATGACCGTTCTACATCGTGCCGCCGTCGCTGCGTCCGTCTTAGGTCGCACGCATGGGCGGCAACCGTGCCAATACTATCGTACCAGGCCGACATCCATAACGCGCTCCTCATGCCGATTGCTCACGATTCATGTACTCATCGATACGGACTCCCTTCCTCCATCTCCCACTTCACTCACACGAGAGCCGCAAACGCTAGCTCCAAGCGGATCGCCTGTGCAGACAGCTCCGCGGCCTTATCCTCTGCTGACGCAGGTCAAGATCGAACAGCAGAAGACGCGCTCTCGTCCGCAGAATCTGACCACGCGATGGCAGCGCCTTGAACGCTCCTTGCGCGGCAAGGGAGCGTATGCTAAACAGATCAACGAACTCGTGACCGAGGCAGATGGTGATGAATCTGGGACACATGTGGGCGTGCCGGGGACTGCAGGATGGAAAGGCAAGCAACCTAGGATGTTCGACGGATTTGTTGTCCCAGATAAGCCCAGCGAACCCGAAGCAGATGGTAAAGCGTTTCGAATGTTTCAATCCAGCTGTTCCTGTAGTGCTTATTTTCTCACCAGAATGCTGCATGTCGGGATGTACCATATGCGTGTACGATCTATATGCTGCAGCACTTGAGGATTACAAACTAGCTATGGAGGCACTACGAACTACGTTATTGGCGCGCAACATACCGGAAAAGGAGTGGCCTGAAGACGTAAGAGCTGCTGGACCACAAAATGAAAATAAAAGGGCAAAACAAGATACTTTACGAGACATCACGCTCAATGCATTCGAAGCCCTCGAACGCTCACTGCGAGAGAAGCAGGAGAGAGATAAATCTGACATGGGCCCTGGTTAGTGCGTATTTCCTGTACAATTTTATCGAGGAATGGAGTGACTGATAGATTGGTGGATCATCTAGGCGTGGATGGGCGACCTGCCCCATCCGCGAGGCAAAGTAGAAGGACGTCACTGACAAGTATTGGCGCGGTATCGGAGGCGATACGATGGGTGCTGTACAGCAATCGATAGCTTCAAAGAGAGTGCGCAGCGCATCCTCATTCCACTTAGCCACATACCTCTGACGGACTGAGTGACTCAGATGAATCTGCAATGGATGGTACATTTGTTTGGTTTCGGTTGTAATACAATGATCCTGCATCAGTAATTTCCTACGGTCAGTTCTGTGCATGCGTAGACAGAATGGAAGGTGAATTCATAGGACAGTCGTTCGCGCGCAAGGCATCTCTGTGCGCTCCATCGGCCAATGCGCCCGTCGTTTCCGGAAACAATCAACAACCACAGAGATAACTAGTGACAAACATCCTGTTTAAAAGCCAGCCTCATCCTGGATACCGCGAACGAGTCGTCAAGGCTGAGCAATCGATGGCAATATCCGACGACTACTGGCAAGAGGATCGCTGGCACTGCGAAAGCGGGTCCTTGGGGGTACAGATAGGCCAGCATTAGGAGGTGTAGGAAGATGATCGGCATTATCACTAGCCCTGAAGCTGGAAGAGCTCAGCTTGTGACGAAGCCTGTCCCATATGGAAATCGGGAAGACGCTGTCCCTGCCGTATTGAAAAGGATCGGTGTTGGCTGGCGATGGATGCACAATTATATCTGCCGCTGTTGTATGTACGGGCATACGGAAATCCGTCGCAGCAGCCAATAGGTTGGCTGTTTCATCGCATATACTAGGTGTCTGGGTCCTGAGTTGTTCGCCGCGATTATTCTCTCCCGTGAGTGGCAAATCAGCTGATCTGGACAACGGAGATGGCGTAGCACGAGCTCGATTGAGTCCGATTTGCGAGGGATGCGGATCAGGACTAGTGTAAGGGAAGCTCCCACTGCGCGGACGTAGGGAGGATATGGTATGGGAGGCAGCACCGTCATAAGTAGGATGTTTCCCCGATGCGACTTTCGTGCTCAGAGCCGCGGAATTGAACTTGTGACGCAGCGCACTCCAAGAGGATCGAGCTCGAACAGTACGGTGGTGATCAACGGAGGGCCGTGCTGCAGTCGTCACAATTTCAGGGATTTTTGCGTCTTCTGTCGAAGACAAGCCATCGAAATATAACTGATCCTCTGTGCCCTGGGCCTCCTGAGGGTGAATAATGGCCGAGGTAGGGGGCTGTGCATCCTTCCGAGCAGCGAAGAGCTTCAGCTCTTCTTCCCATTCCCTGAGCTGATTCACGTCCTGGCAGCAAAGGACTTTGTGTCCGTCGTCACTCCCACTATCACCCTTCCACCAGATAAATAGCGAATGTTGACCTATGTGTGCTCAGTGAGTACTAGTGCATCCATCAGCTAGATTACGAGATCATCACACCTTGTGAGTATGGAGCTACATGAAATTCCATCCGCAGAGAAATTTGGGTTTCCACTGTCAGGCGGGCGTTCATGTCAGGAAGCTGAGTTGGGCTTTTGGGCTTCGTCAGAGTCCAAGCTCTCTTCCGAGTGCGTTTGGATCCAAGGAACAATCGCGGTAGCTCTTTGCAGAGGAGAATACTCCTTTCAAACAGGAAGGCGTGTAATCCGTCGTCCTTGTCACCCGGCATGGTGAAGAAATCACTGAGCAGCAGCGACCCGAGCTGCGAGATTTCAGATTCTTCCCATTTGATGAGACGTTTCTGCACAGTGCCCAAAGCTAATGTGTTCTTTGCCGATCGATAGACTTTGTGCAGTCTGTCACTAATACGTTCAGCTGCTCGCACTCCTGCCTGCAGTTCAGGATAATGTGCGTAGGCTGTTCCAATAACAGCTTCCGAGAGCGACTAAGTTAGGCAAAAGTTGAGCATAAATGAACAGCAGCGAATTACACCAGCTCACTTTCAGAAGCGCCGGATATTCTCGCATCCTATGCAAGGGCTTTATGAGTAACATCGGCAGATCGGCGACCTTTATATCATGTGCATTATTTATCATCTGGCATGCTGGTGAGCATTAATAGGTATAATACATCACTGCATACCCGCTGCAGCTTTAGACGGATAGTCAGTTGAGTAAACATACCTTCGCTTTGTGCGTATCTTTAAAAAAGCATTCGACTGCAGGGAAGGCAATAAAGTATGCCTCATAAGCCTCGAATTCATGCTCCTGTTGAAGAATAACTGCTTAATGAGTGTTGTACACAATAAACATTATCGACTGACTTTCGATACGAAAGGGAATCCCCAACGCTGCTCTAGCCAGGGTGCCTCTGAAGTGATCTCTAAACGTGTGAGTACCTTACGTTGGAACGCCAGGATAATATCAAGAGCAGAGAATATGCTATAAAGCGGGCTCGCGGAATCCGTAAGGAACGCTTCTTTGGAATAGTTCTGCATAGCAAGTCGGATTGTGAGAGGTGAAAGACAGCGTATGCTCTAGGAAATTTACCTGTAGGACCTCTAGGCCGTGAACGTACTTCCTCTCCGTTTCAATGAGCAATTGCGCGTTGTCACGTATATGTTCGAGTTTCTCTTCGTTAATTCGGATCGACGAGCTGCCTGGGTCATTTGCATTCGAGGATGCGGAAGGCACACTATCCAAGGCTGTCTTCGACATGAAGCCTGTAGGAAGCGATATTGCGTCATAGCTGTGGCGCATGATGGAGGTCACACGTGTGCTTGAGCTATCATGAAGTCTGCTTTCCCGTAAGCGTTCTGTCGTCTCGGCATCTTCGTTGTCCGGCAGGTAGTCCTCGATTGCCTTTGTCAACTGTTGCACTACGAAAGCCATCATCGGACGTTCGCGCCGATCAGTGCGCCAGCAGAGCTCCATGAGCAGCCAGACGGCATCAGATAGACCAAGCAGGAGAGCGTCTGGCGGGCGTTTTGGCCTAGTGCCTAGCATGGTGACCTGGTACACAACCGCAGGATCACGCGGTATTTCGTGGAACGGCATACGTCCAGTGAATATCTGGCAATGTTATGAGTAGCCGCTCTGCTTCTCAAGCGATAGGACCGGACTGACCTCCCACATCACCATCGCAAGAGAGTACACGTCGCTCTGAAAGGTCTGACGAGCACTCTTAAGCCCAACCTGCTCTGGAAATAACAGCTCTGGTGCCATCCACCTAATCGACCCATGATCGCAAGAGGACGTAGTCATCAAATTGACAGTGTCAGAGTCATATATAACCGCTGCCAAACCGAAGTCCGAAAGCCGCGCATGGGAAGTCTCGTCGACGAGCACATTAGCCTTGGTAATCAGTATCAAAAACCATGTTCGCTACATTCTGACACGAGACTCACGCCTTTGAGATCCCCGTGGAATAACCCATGTGTATGGAGATACTCTAAACCTTTTGCCACATCAACCAGCTGCAGGCGATGATTAGTTGCGGAGAACTGGCGACGGGGTGTCTCTGTAACTTGCCAACTCCAGCCTGTTCGCGTTTGGTCGTTTCTTTAGAAAGGCATTAACATTGCCGTTGGGCATCCATTCGCTAATCAAGCAAAGGGGAAAGAGTGTGGTATTTACTCCCAGAAAAGGTGTGATATTGGGATGGCAGAGGCGCTTCCATTGAATAGCTTCTTTGCAAAATTTCTGCCATCCGTGCTCCAAGTGTTAAGTCGACTATACAAAATGATCGAATAGTGAGGCAGTCACCTTGTAGACCACCTGAGCGTCGTCTTTGCCGAACACACGGAACACTTTCAGTGCCACTGTGATGCGTCCACACGTGCCTAGCCAGATATCTGCAAATCCACCTCCATCGATAGCATGGTCATGATGTCTTGTGATGTTCTCTTCAGAGATCTCCAGCGAGTCCGGAAGCGATGCGCTTCGAATGCAGAGCTTGCGCAACAGATTTGAAGCAGTACTATGCAGGCGACTGGGCCATTCAAGGAACTCTAGAGCCTACAGCAGAGTAAATGTATAGGACATTATGTGATAAGTGGTAAGCATGATCGTGCTGACCTGATCGAGAAGGTTGATGACTGCTCTTGTATCAGACCTATCTAAGTGTAGCAGAGCATGAACGCTATCTCGAGAGGAAAGAGCAATTTGGATAACATCCAGAGTCTCTTCGACTCCAGGTTGGAAGGGGATGGTCAGGCTGGAATGAAGATGCTCGCTGCGAAATTTCTGCCTATTGCCTCAGCTTTCCATGGCGGAACAGGTGTCATATCGTCTCACCGTAGGGCAAGCTAGGACCGGACAGGTATCATACAACTCTTCTAAAGCTGCTTGAATGACCTGCCATTGTGTAAGAAGGCTTATCGTATCAAGCTTAGACAATTGCTCTAAGCATTGGATAACGTCAAGACACCACCTAAAGGACATTGCATCTCGTCAGTGTCAAATCACCATTCATGATATATCCACCTACTTTTGCACTTCATTGTAGCAATCAATGTCATCCTGGTCTCCCGTCACCAAACTGCCACAGCGAGACACGGAAAAATCATAAAGAGTGACGAGGTACGAACATGATCTCTGTGCATATGAGTTCTCAGAGCACCGCACAGTCAATTTGATACTGTGTCCAGGACTAACCTTGAATGCCTGCACTGAACCCAACTTCTCTGTTAGAGCTACCTCAGGGTGAGATTCCTGCATCATATAAGTCTCTGAGCATCCCGAGGCTCTCTCGAGCTGTAGAACAAGGCGATGCTGTGTACAATGCGTAGCCTGCTAATGATACATCTGCGGACACTGCCTTGATGGGAGAAGACGCCCCGGGCCTATACCTCCGAATAGGACCGGAACAAAATCCCCGAGGCGATAGCACGGGGGGATGCTTATTACATAAATCTGGCAGTACCGTGAGCAGGCTGTCGGTGTTGACAGACAATGCTTTCCATCAATTGCCTTGTCGCTGTAATTGTCTTGCAGCGTGAGGCACTTACCACAATTCAACTGCTTTCTAACCGACCCGACTTCTCTCATGTCTAAGGCACTGTCTGATGGCCGAGTACTCACCGCAGACATGAAGCGATTTGCACACGTGGCAAATGCTTAGCAAATGGACAGGTTTTTTGCCTTTGTGATCTCAATTTGATATGGTTCCTTCGCACATTCTGTATTAAGTATTTGAATATGATATGTTGGAGGCAGAAATTTAAAATCATATATTTTAAGAAACGACACCATTTTCAAACTCACCAAATACATTTAGAATTTGAGTGCTGTTGGATGTAATCATACATTTTTGAATTCTAAATGTATTTGGTGAGTTTGAAAATGGTGTCATTTCTTAAAATATATGATTTTAAATTTCTGCCTCCAACATATCATATGCAAATACTTAATACAGAATGTGGGAAGGAACCATATCAAATTGAGATCACAAAGGCAAAAAACCTGTCGACATTTGCTAAGCATTTGCCACGCGTGCAAATCGCTTCATGTCTGCGGTGACTACTACGGTTGTTTTAAGGCCAACGAGTCGTGTATTGGATTGATATCGGCAGTCATCAGCAATGGCAGAGGCATACAAACAAGATAATGCATCATCGATGACCTGATAATGTGGTAGAAGCGCGCGTCAGTGTGTCTTGTGCACGTGCTTGCACAGATCTGAATCTCAAAATTTCTGAAGCGCCCAAAATTCCCGCCACCACCTGAATTCCTTCCGTCCCGGTGCTCTTTGCTCTCGACAGCGCGGAAACTCGGTGTGGTGGACTTACTATTACCGTCATCCTGCTTTTCTGCAAACAGCGACCTTACCACAGTTCACGACCATGGTCGTCCTCTCCGACCCCACCGCCGTCAAAGTCTACACAGTCAATGGCGCCGCCACCGGGTCCTCCTCATCCCTGCCCGACTGGCTGACACGCAAGCGCGCAGTCAAGGGCAAGGGAAAGCGTAGGGCCATTCGAGAGGAAGTAGAAGGCACGATCGACCTCATACAGCACTTTGAGTTTCCCGAGGCGAGCAACAAGGTCAAGACGACGCGGGACGGGCACCACGCCATCGCTACCGGGACTTACAAGCCGCAGATTCGGGTGTGGGATCTTGACCAGCTCTCGCTCAAGTTTGAGCGCCATACAGACGCGGAGAACGTCGACTTTGTTGTGAGTGAGTCCTCCTCGTTCCCTCGGTCTCACTGCCCGCATCTCCCAATCCAGCATCTCTCACACTGGCCTTGCTCACGTAGATGCTCTCGAATGACTGGACCAAATCTATCCATCTACAATGCGACCGCTCCGTCGAGCTGCACACTCAAGGAGGCTTCCACTATCGCACCCGCCTCCCGCGCTTCGGGCGCACGCTCGCGTACCACTTCCCCTCCTGCGACGCCCTCTTCGGCGCCTCGGGCCCCGAGGTCTTCCGCCTCAACCTCGACCAGGGCCGCTTCCTCAACCCGCTCCGCCTGGTCGGCGCATCAGACGATGGCTCGGGCACCGGCGAGGACGTCCTCGGCGTTAACTGCATCGACATCAACCCCGCACACCAGCTTTTCGCATTCGGCGTGGACGGGAACGGGACGGTCGAGTTCTGGGATCCGCGCTCGCGTTCTCGGGTGGGACTCCTCCGCCTCCCGCGCGAGCGCCTCCTTCCGCTGTCTGCTTCTGCTGTGCCTGCGCTGCCAGGGGTCGATGACGGTCCTGGCGGAAAGTCATTGTCGACGACTGCTATTGCGTCGCGTGCAGATGGGCTCTCGTATGCAATAGGCACTTCCTCGGGACACACCCTGCTATATGACATTCGTGCCGCGCGGCCGGTTGCAATGAAGGATCAAGGGTATGGCCTCCCAGTGAAGAATGTGCTATGGGTGGAGGGAGGCGCGAAGATGGGCATGGCGGGTGAAGGAATGGTGCTCAGTGCCGACCGGAAGGTCGTTAAAATTTGGGACCGGCATGAGGTGCGTGTCCGCTGTCCCTTCTAACCATCTAAAAGCATGTCGACTGACCCTTATGTTTAGCCCGAGACGAACTTTACGTCCATCACGCCCGCGTCGGACATCAACGACGTGCACCATGTTCCCGGCAGCGGGCTGCTGCTGCTCGCCAACGAGGGCATCCACATGACATCGTACTTCATTCCTCAGCTCGGGCCTGCACCCAAGTGGTGCTCGTTTCTCGAGAACCTCACGGAGGAGATGGAGGACCAGACCGCGCGCACGGCGTACAAGGACTACAAGTTCGTCGAGCGCAGCGAGCTTGCCAGGTTCGTACATCACAGCGCACATATCTGTCTACTGTATCTGACGTACTACGGCTCGTCAGCCTCGGCCTGGACCACCTCATCGGCACGCCGGCGCTCAAGCCATACATGCACGGCTACTTCATCGCGCTGCCGCTGTACGACGCTGCGCGCGTCATCGCGAATCCGTACGTGCACGCAGAGGCGCGCGAGCGGGCGATACGAGAGAAGGTGGAGAAGATGGCCGAGACGCGTATCCGTGCGCCGAAGAACGCAGGCGCACAGGTAAAGGTGAACAAGGCGCTCGCGGAGAAGATCAAGCGGGAAGAGGAGAGAGAGCGGAAGAGAGAGGAGAGGAAGAAGAAGAGAAAGGCGGAGAAGGAGCAGGAGCAGGAGGCCGTCATGGATGTTGATGAGGTGGTGGTGGTGGAGGAGGCAGACGAGGCGAAGGAGAGCGAGGACAAGACGGAAGAGGAGAAGGAGCGCCCGAACTTGTTGAACGATCCACGGTTTAAGGCGCTGTTCGAGAACACTGAATTCGAGGTGGACGAGGATAGCAGAGAATTTGCGTTGCTCAATCCGAGCGCTGCGGCTCATAGACAGAATGGGACCAGCGCGAAGGACAAGAGACGGACAAGGACAGCGGTGGAGAGCGAGGAGAGCGCTAGCGAACGGGCCTCAAGTGACGAGGACAAGAGCGAGAGCGACGAGGAGAGTGAGGGAGACAGCAGTAGCGAAGACAGCGACACCAAAGGCGGTAAGCAATTTTGACGCGCATTCTTCAGTGATCACACGACTCATTGTTCATTGTTCACTTGCAGAGCTTTGGCAGGATGACATTCGTGCACGAATGGCCGCTCGGAACAGCTCATGCACAAAAGCGAGAGTGCCATCAAAGCAACGCACGCCAAACGTGCATCTCGTCCCGCTGCGCGCACGGGCTGACGGGTCCTCGTCGCGTGCTGTGGGCAGGGATGCGACGTTCGGGCAGCGGCGCTCGACGCTCGGTTTCAAGGCAAACACGCGTCAGCCCGACGTACGGCGTGTTGTAGATGGTGGTATGGAGTTGACGTTCATCCCGTCTTCATCAAGGTCGTATGAGGAGGATGAGGATGAGGAGATAACCGGCGGTAGAGGGAAGAAGAGCAAGGAGGCTAAGCGGAAGGGCGTGGAGACGTTCGGTGCAGGACTACAGAGGGGCGGAGAGCCTGAGGACGCGCAGAAGGCGTTGAGTGAGAATGAGCGGCAGGGGAGGACGCAGAGGAGGAAGGGTATGCGGAGTGGGAGCAAAAATACGTTTAGGAAGAGGTAGGGCTGGGAGTCTTCTCCGGGTTTGGTGCTGCTGGGAGTTTTATTTTCCGCTATGCATGTTCATGCACACATTTCTTTGAATCGGCCTTTTGGAGAGCAGATCTTCAAGCACAGCTATGGCTCTACGCATGCTTCAGGTTGACGGTTGACTCGAGAAATACGAGACACGACCACGTGATTGCGACACGTCGATGGCGCACTTAGCGCAAGCGTGCGCAGTGCAAGTGCATTCCCCCAGAAGGTTGCGGCGAATCTATTATTGTCTGTTCCATAAAGCGAAGTGCTCAGATTATTAGTCTGAAGGCGCTTCTGCAGTCTAGGACGCGCTACATCACATGGTTAGTGTATTGTCGAAGTGTTTTGATCTCGGTCTCCGAAGGATTTTAAGCTCACCTGATTCTGCCGGATACGGCGATTGTGGAATAAGAAAGAATCAAAGACGGAATATGCTGCTCCTCACTCGAACAGAACGGCGGGAAGCTGGGTCAAATACCGAGCACCGTTCATATAAATGCGCGCTGTTCGCAGCTTCGTGCACGTCCTCAACCTCCTCTACTGTCAGCCTTATATGCGCTGCACGCAAATCCTCTTTCGGGTGCTAGAATGGGTCAAAATCGGCACTTTCTTTGCTCTTGTTTTCCTGTGAAGAGAGCGCTCAGTTTGATCTGGTCGTGCCGGGGATAGACATGACGTCCGGCCCTTGTGCGAGAAGCCATGCGAGCGCGACTTATCCTGCTGTCGCATCATGCTGCGGTCTAATTTGTCTCAGCCCATCGGCAAGCTTCGAGATGTTCGGGAAGTTCTTCGAGTATCTATCAAGACGAGTTGACTAAGTCCAGTTGAGCATGTAGCGATTGCCGGTCGGGTCGCATACCATAGTACTCTGAGTCTGAAGCCACCGTTGTCGAAATCATGCGGTGATTTCTGCAGTTCTATTCTTTCGATCAGCATAAAGCGGCCAGAAGGAGGAGAGAAACAGAAGGTGCACTGACATATTTCCTGGTCAGCCAGCCACTCCCGAAGGGCGAGTATGCGACGATCGTCATGGCGTGCTCTTTGATAGTCTTGAGCAGGCCGGTCTTCTCTTCTCGTTCTCGATGTCGAGCATGAAGAGTGAGTACTCAACTTGGAGTGCACTGATAGGACGCACGGCGTGCACGTGCAGGAGGGTCTCCGCGGAGACTCGGACAGGCCGAGATACATCACTTTCCTGCTCTGATAGCACACGGGTGCGTTCGACTGCTGAAGCCCAATGGTCATGATGAGAGGATGTTCACTTGACAAGACTCACAATTTAATATCATTCATTTCCTCAGCTCATATCTCGCGCATATAGTCGTCCAATTCAGCGCCAGAGGCAAGCTCGCCATCAATAAAATGTTGATTGGAGCTGAGCACGCGTCGTGCTCAGATACGCCCTCGTGGCCTGAATGATGGGCCGGGGTTTGAGGTCAGGGCGCGCCGACTCGGACAGTCGGGGACCCACTGCCAGTCTGCTCGCCTGATGTACTCTTTCTGCATACACCGGGACTCTGGCCGACGTACCTGCAGTGACCACAAGCAGAATTTCCGGATCCAGGTGGAATTGTGCAGTTACTTAAGAGGTAGCACAGCGTGCATAGCAATATTTTTCCACTGAAGAAACCATGAAAACATAGTAAAAGAATATAAAGCCCTGCCTTGGAAAAATGTTAAGAAATATTATGTAGTGTTCTCCATATTTGGGTAGCATATGCCCATATATAGCAATTTGATGATGGAGGAAGCTTCACTGTTTTTCCAAATCAAAGCTTAATAAGTTTTCAGAGTTTCTCTACTGTTTTCCAATGGAAAAATGTTGCTATGCACACTGTGTAGCTAGGGTGCGTGAGGTTCGATGAGATGTGGAACAAAGCATGACTCATCTTGGGCTGGGATAGTACAATCACATGATTGCCGTGTCACTGGCCATGCATGCCATAAAATTGGCCCAGGTCCACAAGACGTTGTCCGCTCACAGCTGCAACAAGTTTGACTGTGCCGTCTTCACAAACCCTGGCACACAGCATGGCGACTAGCATGGCACAGGTGCAATGGCAGTCAACAGAAAGGGAATTTGGGCACCAAGATGAACCATCAGATGCTGGCCACTTTGGAGACAACGTGGACAACACAGAGGAGACCTGGCAGGAAGCAGCGGCTGAAGAAGAGGAGCAGTTTGGGTGTATATTATCTAAAGAAAAGTGGTCAGACTTGGGCACCGGCGATGAGGTGAAGGAAGACAACTTTTGGGATGACATTGTCCAAGGAGTTGAGGAGGGGGGTATGGCCCGACCCCAAGCAGTGGCTGAAGAAGAGGACCAGTTTGGGTATATATTACCTGAAGAAAAGTGGTCAGACTTGGACAGTGACGATGAGGCAGATGAAGATGATTGGGACGACGATGCCCAATTGTGAGCTGAGGAGTTCCAGAGGAGATGTATTCAAGCTGAGGATCAATTTGGAGCGCATGGGTTCACACCGTTGCAAAGGCTTGTATGTGTACGCTATAGCAGGCAGTGAGTTCGGACATATTACAGCTCTATATTCATAGACAAGCCGATACACCTGGAGCCTCTTCACGTATGGGAGCATGACAGGCATGGTATAGGAACCCTTGATCTGCTGGGTTTGACTCCTCTCGACCACCTACACAGCAGTGTGGGCTCTCATTTTCCATGATCTGCAACTGTCGCTCTCTATGCGGGATGCCCAGCTCATGGATACAGCATCTGGCTCTGCCAAAACTGACAAAGGTTGCTTGATGCATATGATAAGAGCAATCCTGCAGACTCACTGCCTTCTTCCAGATATTCTATTATTTCCATAATTATGTCCGAGTACACTTCCCACAAGATATCAAAGGGTTTCTGTACTACCACTGTTCGGGCAAGGGCACTTTCCCCCATGGAGATGTCAGGTTCAGGGTCACACAAGATCTGAGCATCGACATATTAAACCATGGGACGGACCTCTTCTTACCTTCTAGGATTTCCTGGCAAATACCTCTCTGGAATGTCTCCACTATCGCTATGTACGTGCTGTTCCTGGGTTTGTTGCTAAGGGACAGACTGGTCACAAAGGAAGACAGGATAGCTATGCACACATACGTGGTAACATATACTGGAATAATCATTAGAATCTGGTTCACAGCCTTGACCACCCTTTGTTATTCAACTTTGGTCATCTGACCAATGCTTAGTATCAGGTGCTTATCAACAATGCAGTACTCTCGCTTGCCTTAATCAACAAGTTTACAGAAAAAAAGAAAAAAAACAAAACTGCTGCCATATACAGGTCAATTAGACAAGTCCACAACCTGCCATATATGTAATCTCCCATGCTGACTCTGATTCAAATGCAAGTAAGCATAGCTTTGATCAAATTAGAGCACTCCACGCTCGAGCAGCATCTCTGAGAACCCTCTCGCTCAATGCTCATGCATGTCATCAAGATTTTGGAGCCCATCATTCGTGTCAATCCTTCATACAACAGTTACCTCAGCACGCCAACTGAAGGTGAACTTCTATGTTGGAAAGGTCATCCTATTGCTTTAGAAATCGACGGCAAGAGAAAAAATGCCCATGCACTGTGGGTGTTGTATAAACAGGACCTGCAGTAATTTTCAGGAGCCCGGAAGTTGTTCTGGATGCAGCGGTGATATATCAATGTATCTCTCATCAGGTACATATGACACCTGTTTCCTAGTCTAGAAACATACACACAATATTGCTGCAGACACAAATCCATGGCCATGCTATAACTGCTCTGCTTGGTGATGCATCAGAATAGATCATACCAGGCATCTGGGCTTTAAACACACATCGCTGATGAAACCACTAGCATTCAGTCGTGTACGTCTGTCTCATACTTTCACCAAGTCATGCCCTGCCCATTTGCTTGGCACTAACCCTCCAATCCTGTCTCAAAGGTATATTGCAAACATGGGGATGTGATACAGACATCAGCAAAATGTCCAGACGTCGGTCTGATCTTATCTAATATTACCTTACCTTATCTGAGGCTACCTGCACAATCTGGCAGTTGCACAATTGTCCAGCAGGATCTGTAACCCCCAATTTTCAACTGATCGTTGATATGCTCAACCGCGTCCTGGCCGTGAGCAGTGCTTCCTAACCAAATCTCTCTGATCTTGGCAGGTGAACCAGAGCTTGTCCGTCTGCGGTCCCTTTGGGGCTACGGTCGCAGGAAACTTTGGATGATAATGCAGCGATGGGCGGCCGCGAGTTGTTCGGCTGTGTGTGCTTGAAACGGAGTGAAATACCATGAAAAATGCGAGTCGGTGAGTGTCGGGTTCAATTATGGGGATAGGTCCGACTGGGCAACAGTCGAAAGCTGAAGTGTGGGGGTGTGTGGGAGTGGAATGCAATTGGCGACTCCTATGCTCGCAAAACGGTGATAGCTGAGGGTCTGAGCTGAGTCACGAGAACTAGCTACTTCTGGATGAAGCTGGGTAGGCACCGACGATGAAGCCCTAACTTCCTCCGAACTGGGTTAAGCACCAACGACGAGTCCCTAATAGCTACCGAGCTGAAACGAGCACCAACGACGAAGCCCTGGGCATCTAGAACTGGTACGAGCACCGATGAGGAACCCCTGGGCACTAGCGAGGCTACGGGGTCCGATGAGGATGGGATCCTGGTTTGGACTCGTGACTAGTGGCGTGAGAGTGGCAGACGATGGCGTGAGACGACAAAAGCACGATAACGTGGCTTAACTGGCTGAAACCCGAGTCGAGCTGGAGGCCACTACTGAGAGTGCTGCCCCTCTCAGTGTCGAGAATCCCAGAGGTGTGAATGCGATCGCAATAGACGTAGACGTAGTTGGGCACGACGCCCTAGCGTAGACAAGACGAGAACTGAACTCTGCTGTGTGGGGAAACTCTTGTGGAGAACTTCCTTCTTCTTTTTCTTTTCTTCCTTTTTATGTACAGTGTGGATTATATAGTGGATCGGAAATGAGCCAGCTGAGTCGCTGAAACACGTTTCCGATCATACATTAGGTTTCCGATCCATTGAAACATGTCGCAAAGCTCACTCCTGCCCCCTCTCCGTATCCTACAGTCGGGGAACTGGAAGTCCGGCCCTGCCAGGGTTTGTCGGCCCGCTACCCTGCCTTCCATTCATTTAGTGCACTTGTTCATCTCCGAGTTGCCTAACCGGTCATGTTCCGTTCTTGCACTGTGCCTCGTAATCGGCTACGCTTCTTCATGGCTTTCTCATTATTTCCGCGCCTCATGTTCTCCTTCTGACCTCTTCATGCAGTTCCGCTTTCCCAGGCAGTCGGCAAGGCCTTTCTTTGCTCACTCTGGACTGTTCCGGCTTCAGTGTTTGTCGTTCCGGATGACGGCGACTCGCTATCCAATTGTGCGATAGTCAGACGCAATTTTCGGTGTTTTCCGATCGCAGAATATCTCGGTGCATATCACCTCCCCCATTCTGAGATGTGGACCGTCCTTGGTCCATCGGGCTTGTGTACTTTAGATAGCATGACTTAGCTTGTGGTCCCTCCATCCTTCGCCACTATGTCCCACGTTGATGGTGTCTTCAGCCTCGCCACTCACGCCCGCAGAGTCTACCCGGTTGACAGCGCCTGTGTGTTCTTGTTACAGCGACTAGATAACCTTGTCTCTACGTCGCCTGCTCCTGACACTCCTGAGGTAATTTGGCAGACTTGGGCCACGGCATTTTCAGCTTATGAGGTGAGTTCTCCGGATTGCGATCCATCATACCGTAGCTCATTTCGCGGTCCTCTCGTCCCGGTTAGCATGCAATTATCCTACCCGTGCTGCATCGCTCTCTTTTGAGGCCAATTCCATATATGTATGACTGGCTAATGCTGAACACGAGTCCCGACTTCCACTGGGTTAAAGGGCTCGTCCCTCCTACATTCGTCGGTTATGCTCCGTTTCACGAGGCAGTTGGCCCGCGTCGCACTCCTGCTGAGCTTTCAGAAATTATGCAAGAGATTGTCGCATCCGCCGATCACGGCGACTTTGACAATCTTCCTGAGGGTCGCATTTACGCTTGCAACCGCTTTTTGGTGGCCTACATTGAAGGCGACCTCTTCGTGGATCATCGCGATCAGACGTACCTTGGTCGAACTTGTCCGATCGAGAACTGGTGGGCCGAGCACGACCTAAAGTGCATTCCTTCACCTGCAGCTGCCTCAGTCGTGATTGCAGAGATCCGAAAGGGGGCAGTCAAATGCGAAGCGGAAGTGGTCGCAGTTCTTCGAAGGCGTTATCACGTTCTGCGACCGTCACGAGTGCGGCGTCCTCTGTGGTTACTGCCAAATCGACTGAGTCGGATATGCTGCACGAATACTATTCCACTGTCCATGCTCTCCCAAAGCGTGTGCAGATCGCGTTCTTGAATTTCGGCAAACCGTGGCCGCATACCAAGGCTTGTCATTCGCATTTTGTCGTTCGCGCGTCGCTTACGTTCCCGGACTAGTGCTCCAGCTGCTTGATGGACGGCGACTGCATGATCATGCCCTCTGAGCATGGTGGGCAGGCCTGTGTCCATTGCCGAGTGTCACACCTCAAGTGCTCGTTCGTTCAATCGCCCTCCAGTACATCCTTTGTTTCTTTGATCGCAAATGCTGCCATAGTGACCTTTGTTATTTTTTCAATCACAGATGCCAAATCGCTGGCCGATACTGAGCATATCCTTAGCGAGGTCTGCGGACTGCCCATTCCTAGTGCTCTGCTAGTCGAAATATATATGCAGGAGCATGTGCGACTGGTCGTGGAGGCGACTCGCATTAGCGAGCATCTCAAATTCTTGAAGACCTTCCTGGCTGCGAATGGCAAGGCCACGTAGTCTAGACCCATCTCAATTTGTCCATCGTGTACTCCGCTTTCCTGTGTACCATAGTTCGACTGCATTTGTCTCTGGTGCGGTGCCACGAATTCAATGGTTTGGGTGGCTTCGATCGGAGTTGGCTCGTGTTTTGGTCCTGCACCGCAGTTCCGTCTGAGTCACTCAAACTGGCTTCCTAAGAAATCTGACTGGCTCTACCACGTGGTAGAGGACGATACCACGAGTTTTTAATGACACGTTCACCCGTCCGCACTTGGCCAGTTCGATTTTTTTTTTTTCTATGGCACCTAACTCTCCTCTCCCTCTACTGCAATCTCTCAGCTACTCGATGGGCAATCCCGCTACCTCATCATCCTCTCTGTGTCCTGTGACCCCGGTCACTTCTCCACACAAGGTATGTTGGGCTTCCACACCGTTTGGCTTTGCTAACCACTTTCCTCAACACCTAGGCGACGGACCCGAAGGACGCCATCATGGGCGTCGTTTATGCCACTTTAGAGGTGTTGCGTGAGGCCAAGCCTCTCGATCCATCCATGGATCTCGAGTTCTTGATACGCGAGTTTCTTTCTGCCTTGGTAAGTGAGCGCTCCGTGGTCTTTGTCGCTGGCTAACCCGCTTTCTCCTCTAGCATGAACTTCATTCTTTCTCAGATTCCGTATCACAGATGCACTATGCCCGGTTTCATCAAAAGGCCCAAGTGCACCTCGATGCCTTTGTACAACCATCATGGCTTTCATGGTGCAGGGAGTTAATTTCACCTGAGTGGGCTGCTGCTGTCTCAGCGGGCAAGGTGCGTGCGCTGACCTTCGGTCCCACCGCCGTCTTCTAACACTGCCTCGCAATCTTCTCTAGGAACTGAGCCCTCCTCCGGTGACTGAGGCCTCCATGCACACGCCTTCCGATACTGGAGAGGTTGCGGCCTCTGGTTCCCCGACCGCTTCCACTGATTTCGATGACTTGCTTCCCCTGGCTGTTTCAACATCTGCTTCTGTAGTAGCTGCGCCAGTTGCTGCTGTGACTGCTGAGGGTGTTCCCGTCCCAAAGTTCGAGTTTCAAGCTCGTGCGGCAAACCCTGTCGCTATTGACCCTCCTTCCGATTCTGATACCGCGGCCATGGAGGTCGATATACCACTGGCTACCATGGTCGCTAAGCCCCCTTTCGCACTGGGCTCTGGTACCATTGAGCTTTCCAGTAACGATGAGGACAACAGCGACAGTGACGAGGTCCAGTACGTGGGTGGCAACATTCCTAACTTGTCTCCGGCCCACCCGAAGAAGGGTAAGGGATGCGGCCGCAAACCTGCGAAGCCGTCCGGCACGACTGCTGCATTCGAGGATCAGTACGTGCGCATGCCGGTCCAAACGTTTTGTGATTGCTCCCTTCCGCCGACGTACCTCCTGCTGTGGCAGAGGCCTTTCATCACTTGCTTGGTAAGTTTAGGCTTTGTTCTTTTGTCATTTGTTGCTAACTCCTTCTTCCTAGTGTCTCTACTGTTTATCCTCCGAGAAGGTCTCACGTACGTGCACACTGAGCGAGTTCTGGCTGAAGTGTCACAAATGTCATCGTGACCACAAGGCCTGCAAATGGTGGATTCACGACACGGCCCCAGATGCTAATGATTCGGATGGCTGGCTTTCGCTGAAAAAGATCTACCGTCGCAATGGCTGGGCGGTGCCTAAATCCCCTGAGGCCTCGGTGATGGTGAAGGCTTCTCGCCACCAGGTTAGATATGACCGGAAGATGCGCGATGCCAACACCGCTGGAAGCGAGAAGGTGACCGAGCTGGAGTTGCCTCTTAACACTCCCATTGACGAGTACGAGGTTGCGCTTGCTGCAGTGCCACGTCTTCGTAAGTCTCTTAACTCTTTTCCGCATTTCGTCCTAGCTGATATCCTCTAGTTCCGATCAGCTCCCTGCCTGACATGCCTGAGACTGAGTCGGAGGTTGATGATGCGTCCGACGAGGTTGTAGTAAAGCAAGAGAAGGAAGCCGCTGGTCCTTCACATCGTAACCTGGCTATCCCACCGCCTCTGAGTGGTGCGGTCCATCCACGCCGCCTTTCTAGTTTTCTACTTACAGTTTTTCTAGCTTGTCTCGACCGTCCTTCCAAGCATCCTCACATCGATGATTCCGATCGATGCAGCATTTTCACGCCAGTACCATCGTCGTCCCGTTGACTAAGGTCCTCAAGCCGCATTCGTCGAAAAGCAAGTCTCACATCAAGGGCTCCTCCAAGACCACGACTGTGAAATTGGAGCCGTCTCGTGCTTCAGCAACCGTCATTGAGCCTTCTGCAGCTAGCACGCAACTCAAGCAAATGATTGAGCTTTCACAGCAGCTCCTCACGGAGAATCGCATCCTGAGGGCTCACAGATCGTGACTTCGTCAGTGTGCTGGACTCGGGCTAGGGTGACGCAAAGCGGGCTGTCCGCGATTTTGTTCATATTACGATCGTGATCTCTCCCTCTGCACGCGCGGAGCAAATGTATTCGTTTACTTGCCTGAATAAACTGTGTGTCGAAAACCTTGTGCGAACTCGCCTGACTGAAATTTTAAGAAAGTTGTCGCAGAATATGATAGTCTTGGTCACTTCCTTGATCCTCTAGCTGAGTCCTTGCCTATGTACTGTTGAATGATTAGTTCGACTTCCTATACTTGTCTATTCCGACTCGTTTTCATCGTACTGGTCTTGCTGTCCTTCGTCTTCATCTCCTGACTCCTCATCTTCTGGTTCTTCATCTGGTTCCTCTTCCCCTTGGTCGTCCGCTTGATGCATCTCTTTCAACCTGTTTTCCGATGCGTCTAACATTTCTTCTGCGATCGCGATCTTCTTCCTTGCTGTGAATGGTACCACCCTAAATGCAGCAATTGGTCAATCCAATACTGCTCCATCTAACTCGCAGAGCACGTAGGCTCCTCCCCGATTGCGAAACAGCACAATATACGGCCCAATGTAGTGTGGTCTCATTTTTCGATTGAGTGCCTTCTCAATTTGCATATGCCGAACCAATACTAAGTTTCCGCGCTTGAGGTCGAAATCCTTGATCGCATTCTTATGGACTCGCTCGAACTGCCTGGCTGCTTTCCTCCTAGCTTCGTAGACTGTGTTATGGATTCTTGCGACTTGTTCCCGACGCTTCTGCAGCGCTTCGGCTCGGCTCGCGATTAGGTCGGTCATCAATATCATTCCAACTGGGGCTGGAATTAGATACGTTGCTTCAACGATGTCAAGCGGTAGGACTGGATGGGTGCCGGTAACTGAGAAATAGGGTGAGCAACCCATTCGTCTCCTAACTGTTACTCTTTCCGACCAGAAAACGGAATGCACGACTTGACTCCATTTGCGCTCCTCTCCATCGGCAGCCTTGAATAGACCCTGCCGAATGTCAAAATGCGGTCGCTCAATGATCCCATTCACACATGAGTTGTAACCACTTATCTGGATGTGCTTGATGTGATATTTCTTTTCCAGATAGGCTGCTGCTTTTATGAATGCTGCACCGTTGTCAGTGACGATTTCCGATAGGCCCCCCCAGCGACAGAGTATATCCTCGAAAATCCAATCGCTGAGGGTCTTCGCCATCTCAGCTCGAAGCATTCGGAACTCAGGATAGTGGGTGAGTGAACAGTGACCCTGCACGATGTACTTAAATCTGTTTGAGGGCGGCATATGCATCGTGTCGATATATATCTTCGCAAATATCGGTGCTGGAATCGCAACCGTTGGTGGGATGAGGATTTGGTGAATCTGTCGCTTTTGGCATATTACGCAAGTCTTGACGAACCAAGCGATGTCAGCCATGACGTCCGGCCACCAAAAGTGTTCGCTAATTAACGATTGAGTCAGAAAAATGCCTCGATGTCCTAGTTCGTCATGTGCTCCGGCGAGGACTCTCAGTCAGTTTTCTGGTAGTATGACTAGCTTGTGCGATCCTTGTCCATCTTTTCTCCAGAGGTGTCTGTCACGTTTGAAGAAGTGGACTGCATACTTGAGCATCTGATCGTATTCTTTGTCCGAGTAGTTCTCTGGTCGCTGCAACGTTTTTAGCCAGTCAGTGATTAGAGCGATGAGATGATCATTCCATCTGGCTCGTGCAGATCATGGAACATCCTTGTAGCTGACCGCCTTCGGGTCCTGAGTGTCTGGTTGTCACAGTATTAAGTGGCACCTTTCTTTTTGCACCATTAAAGTCCTCATTTGAGTGGTTATTCGGATGCCAACCTTCATATTGGTCTCGCAACGTGGATACTTGGACAAACAGCACAATGCCACCACATACATCACGG